CGGCTGGGATCACAGGCATATGCCACCATGCCTGGCTAATTTTTGTGATTTTAAGCAGAGGGGGTTTCTCCCTGTTAGCCAGGCTGGTCTCAAACTCCTGGCCTCATGTGATCCACCCACCTTGGCCTCCCAAAATGTTGGGATTACAGGAATGAGCCACTACTGCCAGCCTACTTTTATCTCACTTCTGAAAATACACATTCTACCAACACTCTACCTTCCTTACTGAAGAATAAATTAGAATAGAAAAAAAGACATTTTTAAGGTGCAACATGTTCTTTAATAGAAACAATAAACTTCAGTTAAGTAAAGAAATTGATGTGTCAATAACATTAATTTTTCAAGCCGAGATGGACACTGATCTGGTATTTCATACCCCGCCTACCCACTTTCCTTTGTCCTGCCCAAGCTGCAGGGACCTACCTGACTTCCTGTTCATGTGGATCCCACTGAGACCGTTATCAATCCTGACCTGTTCCCCATATGCCTCTTGGATCTGCCTTATGTTCAAGGTATAGTTCTTTAACACAAAACAGCTACGTTCTCTGTTGCCAGGCATGGTGGTGAGCACAGATTAGAACTCAGGGTCAACTCTGAGTTGTACTATCTTTCCCATCCCTTCTAAGTCATCATTTTTACTGTAGGTCGTTTGGCTGATACAGGAAGGTAACAGGGGTAGACAGGACATGATGGGGTTCCCTGGTGGTCATCATTCTTAGAGCACATTGCCTTGTTTTAGTCGTTATTGAAACAGGCAGTGTGGCTTCTCAGGCTGGTCAGCAGCAGCATACTCACTCACAGACTCAACGTCTAGCCTGGCACTCACTTTGAGGCTTGCTAACCTACCATACACCTTGGGACCACTGAAGTTCTGTGCTCACTGGGCAACAGAAACACTATGTTTAAATAAAGCAGCAAGAAACAGTAGACACACATATTATGCATATCTCCTCTGCTCACATTCGTGCTCTAACATCCCATCAAACTTCACTTATAAAACACAAGCTCAAGGCACGGGGCCCCATGCCTTGTGTCCTACACATCATCATGCAGACTGACGCTCAAGTTCTGTTTCAGTACAACTGCCTCACCCTCACCTACAGTGGCGCCTGGTTTCTCTGAGTCTGTAACCTCCCCTCCTGTTCAGTTTCTTCAGAGAATAACTCCTTTTTTTTTTGTTTTTTTGAGACAGAGTTTCGCTCTTGTTACCCAGGCTGGAGTGCAATGGCGCGATCTCGGCTCACTGCAACCTCCGCCTCCTGGGTTCAGGCAATTCTCCTGCCTCAGCCTCCTGAGCAGCTGGGACTACAGGCATGCGCCACCATGCCCAGCTAATTTTTTTGTATTTTTAGTAGAAACGGGGTTTCACCATGTTGACCAGGATGGTCTCGATCTCTTGACCTCGTGATC